TTAAAGAAATACGCCTCAGAAGCGAGAACCCGAATCAAAGAACGACACCTTATGCCAAGCAAGCAGAACTCTGACTTTTGGCGGAGGTTGGAGGATATTAAACTATTGTAGCAGGATGTGGAGCAATACTGTGCTCAAAGCGTGGCTGTTTTCGAAGCATTGCTTCATTGCGGGATTGCAATGGGTTGGGGCGCCATGCCAGCAGAGGGCCATAGCAAAGGGACAGTGCAGTGTTGCTGCCAAACAAAGGGGAGGAGGGAAGCATATTGCACAAGTCAAATTCACTTACCAAATTCATCGCCTGAATCAAAAAAGAGAGAAACCATTAGTACTGTTCAATTCTCAAAGCTATATTGAGGTTAATCTTTTTTTTTGGTGGGCATACGTATAAATCTGAGCGTTCAAATCCAGGTCCATATTTGATTTTGTTTGTATTGTGAAAATAATGAATAACTAACAATTTCAAGTTGTTGTAAATATGTGAGGAAACACAAAGCCAATTCATTATTTCATTGAGGAAAGAATGAATTTGATTTTTTAAAGAGGATATAAAATCTGAGTGCAATTCAAAACATAGGATTATTTGTTTTATTTCGATAACTCAGCAGATATAAAATCTCAAGGAAGTTAAATCCTTATAACTTGTTACTTAATACTTATCGCTGTGCAACATATGAGATGTACAGCGGGTAGACATTTGCAACTGTTACACTTCAGATGTACACTTCACTTAAAGAGTGGCTCGGAAAACCTTTTTTTTTCTTTTTTTGTTTCTAGAACTTTGAGTTGGATAAACTCAGAGTCCGCCATGGCTGCCCTCGACCTCTGGGTGTTAACGTTTCAAAACCAAGGCAAAAAGTAAAAATGACTTCATCAATCCTTGCACCGATCAAAAATGCACTCATGATGCATTATAAATCTAAACAACTGAACTAAATATATAATCAGTAGTTGATTTACAAGATTAGTAAATGTTTAATGGGCTTGGTGTAAAGTGTATTAAATCGATTATGATTTTTTTTTTCTTACATGGACACAGAAGGAAAGAGGGTATCTAATGCTTTCGTGTCAAAACAGAAGAAAATAATCTTTATTCTTATAGATTCTAATAAATTATTCCATGTTAATGTTTTCAAACAGAAAGTGGGTTCCTTGATCCTTTATGTCTTGTCCAAACAAGACAGTAATTTTAAAAGTGTATTATTTTTTCATTAAAATATTCATCTGAGATAATTAGAAGGACTAATAAAGTGACCTCTGTGATACCTGTACAGTTAGTGGAGAATTTGTAGACAAACAAGGGAGGAACAGGGTGAAGATTTCACCATGAAAAGTCTATGTAATCAGAAAAACACATCTCATTTTAAATGGGGTCTTTGTATTCAACATGACCTAGGAGTTTGTAGACAGCTCAGAAATAAAGTCAAAACTTATGAAAGGTGATGCTTGATGCATCTACTTCTTTGTAATTTAGAATACTAGCCACCGTTGGGTGCACTGCACTGAATATAGGATGTCACCACTGACAAAATGAGACTACACAGTTTTTTATTATGTTTTTTAAACAAAAAAAATCCCTGCTATGAATGCCATTTCCCCCCAGATTAGTCTGTGTTAATTCAAGTTTTGGCTTAGGTTAGGATTCAAAAGATCACAGTATCTTTAGTATTAAGTAGTGTCTGGATATAGTTTTTTACTCATATGTGAAAATGCAAAAAACAACAAAAAGCATAAAGAGTTGAAAGAGGATTTACGAAGTTTGAGAAAAGTCAAAAGGAGGCACAAGATTACAATGGAGGATTATTTTTCTATGTTGACTT